CAAAAGAAAGCTCTAGTTGTGTGAAGAAAAATGATAAAATTTTAGTTTTAGTACAGTGTTGCATGATCGTGCAATTGTCATTAAAAGTGTGAGAGTGCTGAAACCTGAAAATTGGCCTGGGCAGGAAGGGGGTAAAAGTGCCTGGTATTGAAGTGGTTAAAGTAGAAGTTCACTTTTTTTTTCTTCTAAATTCCAGCTCCCCTATGTACCAATGTAGCATTAATGTACTTCTTTTGCAGAAATTCAAAAGCTTTCCATGTTTTCTACCCACCTTTATCTGTGCAGATGGCTGTACAAAAAAAGCTTCTCTATTACTTCTGCCTTATTTCCTGCAGAGATGTTAGGTCATGACACAGGAAGGAGTCGTTTTCAATACTACAGCTCTATCCACATAGGCTGTTATCAGATCACTCAGAACACTTGCCAAATGAATGATCTATCCAAGATGAAAGTTAGAAAGGTAGAAGAATAAAAATCAATGACTGTGTATTTAGTGAGAACAGTGATCACTAATTGAATATCAAAAGGTTCCTCCTGCGCTGTTATGGACCCCAACCCTACCATACAGCTGCTAACACTCAAACTGGTACCAAAACAGTGCAATAAAAAAATAAAAAATAGTGTAGCGCTACTAAACTAGATGACCATAATAATTAATTCATAAAAAGATCAAACCATAACGTGATTGGTGATAAACAATTAAAATAAATATTAATATATAATTGTGACACAACCTAAAGTGCCAGGGTCATCTTAGTGCCCTAAACAAGTGTCAACACATTATTAAACATAATTACTATAAACAATTTTTATGAATACTGTGATAGGTGCAACCACAAATCTCAAAATAAGTCCAATAGTTGAATAAGTGAGTGATATCACATATATATGCAATGTGCAAATTGGTGCTCAATCGTGCAAGTGCCAGCACACTTTTCCATTCCAGCTGCAGTGCCTCCTCACCTCCTTTCTGCGACCCCTAAGGGCCAGAAAGCCTTCAGGATCACCCTGGATCCTCAACAGCACCGACTGGTAACTCTCCTTCCCAAACTGTTCCTTCCAAATTTCTCCTCTGTGTCCTTTAGGACCCTCTAAACAGGTGTTCTGTGAAATCTCACTCACATATTAGTGAGCACAAAAGAGATCCTCCATAGTGTAGTAAATCAAGCTTACAGATCTTTTTATTTAAATTAAAAGGCAACTCACATTTGTTTTACAGCCTCTTTCCTCTATGTGAGTAGATTGCATACATGTAGTATTTCCTGGGAGTTCCAAGATGGCGTCCCGTACCGGAAGAGCGTCACTTCAAAACCAGAAGCTGCGTATCGGCATACCGAAGAAAGAGGTCGCATGCCTCCTGCGCGCTCCTCAGCTACGCCTCCTGGCTGCTGACAGTTGCTCTGCCCCTTTCTTACTGCCTCATCGGAGGGAGGAGTCTAGACTGAGGCGGGGCTCTATTCAGACTTGATTGTCATTTGCACATTGCATATATATGTGATATCACTCATTCAACTATTGGACTTATTTTGAGATTTGTGGTGGCACCTATCACAGTATTCATAAAATTTTTTTTATAGTAATTATGTTTAATAATGTGTTGGCACTTGTTTAGGGCACTAAGATGACCCTGGCACTTTAGGTTGTGTCAAAATTATATATATATATATATATATATATATATATATATATATATAAATATTTATTTTAATTGTTTAGCACAAATCACGTTATGGTTTGATCTTTTTATGAATTAATTATTATGGTCATCTAGATTAGTAGCGCTACACTATTTTTTATTTAGTGATCACTAATTGATTGTTTTTTATTTAATATTCATGCACCTGGAAGTGGGTGGGAGGTAGGAGGGTAGAGGATGCAGGGTGTGTGCTAATGGGGTCAACTCCTTCCTGTGTCATAACATAAAGTCTCTGCAGAAAATAAAGCAGAAGTAATAGAGAAGCTTTTTTGTACAGCCATCTGCACACATAAAGATGGGTAGAAAAAATGGAAAGCTTTTGAATTTCTGCAAAAGAAGTACATTAACTTCTTGCCAACCGCAGATAGCCAAATGACAGCTACACTGCGGCCAGCTAGTTCTGGGAAGGCGTCATATGACGTCCTCCCAGAACGCGCTCTCCTGCGCGCGCCCCGGGGGCGCGCGCACCCAGCGATCTCCATGATCGCTGTGTCCTATGGACACAGCTGATCACATGATGTGGTAAAAGGCCAATCACAGCGGCCTTTTACCACTTGATCAGCCGTGTCCAATGACACGCTGATCACCGGGAAATGCAATTGCCAGTTCTAAGCTGCACTTTCCTCACGCTGTCTGAGCGCGAGGAAAGTACTGCCGAGAACCGGCAGTTGTCAGAGCAGGGATCGGCACCGATCATCAGGGCACCCACCAGTCCAGCAGTGCCACCCACCAGTTCCGCCCACCTGTGCCCAGCGGTGCCACCCACCAGTGACCAGCAGCACCACCCAACAGTGCACCCACCTGTGCCCAGCAGTGCCACCTACCTGTGCCCAGAAGTGTCACCTACCTGTGCCCAGCAGTGCCACCCACCTGTGCCCACCAGTGCCACCCACCAGTGCCCATCAATGCAGTGCTGCCAGTCAGTGCCACCAGTCAGTGCCCAGCGGTTTTGCCAGTCAGTGCCCAGCAGTTGCGCCAGTCAATGCCTAGCAGTGCCGCCAGTCAGTGCCCAGCAGTGATGCCAGTCAGTGCCACCTATCAGTGCTGTATCAGTACCCATCATCAGTGCCGCCTATCAGTGCAACCTATCAGTGCCGCCTATCCGTGACACCTCATTAGTGCTGCCTATCCGTGCCGCCTATCTGTGCCACCTCATTAGCGCTGCCTATCAGTGCCGCCTATCAGTGCTGCCTATCAGTGCCCATCAGTGCTGCCTCATCAACGCACATCAGCGAAGGAGAAAAATTACCTGTTTGAAAAATTTTATAATAGAAACAAAAAAAAAAATTTTTTTCACAGTTTTTGCAATTTTTTTGTTTAAAGCGCAAAAAGTAAAGTGCCCAGCAGCGATTAAATACCACCAAAAGAAAGCTCTATTTGTGAGAAAAAAATGATAAAAATTTCATATGGGTACAATCTTGTATGACTGCGCAATTGTCATTCAAAGTGCGACAGCACTGAAAGCTGAAATTTGGCCTGGTAAAGAAGGGGGTATACGTAAGTGCCCAGTAGGCAAGTGGTTAATGCTATATTGGTACATAGGGAAGCTGGAATTTAGAAAAAAAAAAGGTGAACAAAGGTGAACTCATCCTTTAGGGCCAGTTTACACTATAGAAATGCAGTCCAGATGCTTTCCGGATGCGTTTCTGCATGCACGTATTTGATATGTTTTTGATGCATTTTTGGCGCATTCCAGTGCATTTTTTATGCATTCCAGTTAATTTTCCCCCCTCTCTTTTTCTTTAATTTAAATAGGGACATGTGCATTCCAGTGCATTTTTGGTGCATTCCATTGTGTTTTTGATGTGTTTTACCACGTTCTGGTACAGTTTTGTGCCGGAAAAATGCAGCCTGTTCTACTTTTTTTCTGCATCCGGAACGCATTGGAACTGCAAGCACTGATGTTAACTATGACATTGACAACCATATAACCTACTTTTTGTGTGTTTTGAATGCAGAAAAAAAAAATCACACTGTAACGCATGTAGTGTGAATGTAAGAAAATGTATAACATCTTATAGACTGGGTACTTGTTGACTTGTAAAATGCAATGTGCACACCACAATAAATAAAAAACAAATCAAAGCATTTTAAAACATTTCTTGTTTTCCTTGCCTATGAATTATTGCCTATGAATATTTGTTGTTATCATTTTCAGATAGAAGCTATGGCTCTATTTTCTTGTTTATCGGTATCTGCAACAAAAGCAAAAGGCAACAAGCCCAATAGCTCAAGCTGAAATACACAAAGAAAGATGAATGAGACCAAGCAGGCATTCATTCCTCTTCCTCTCCCACATGTTCTCTTTAGACAAAGCTGTTATGTATGTTTTAGAAAAAAGATACAAATCATCAGCTTCATAAACGTAAAAAGTCAGTTGACATAACATTGATCAAAAGCCATTCCAGTTTCCCTTTAAAGTAGGTAAGGACAAAATGTTACAGCAACTGTTAATACAGGATGAAAAGCTAGTCCTTCATAATGTTTGTATACATCAGAAAGACCCAAGATAAAACATACTTAACCACTTGCCCTCCAGAGGATTTACCCCTTTTCCTGACCAGGCCCTTTTTTGTGATATGGCGCTGCGTTAGTTTAATTGACAATTGCACGATCATGTGACGCTGCACCCAAATTAAATTTATGTCCTTTTTCCCCCCACAAATAGAGCTTTCTTTCAGTGGTATTTGATTGCCTATGCAGAGCAATACAAAGTCACGTTCTGGAGCTGACAGGGGAGAGATCTGTATTGTTAACATATAGACCTCTACCCCATCAGTGTTTCTTAGCAATCACCGGGTGCTGGCGGGAATCTCCATGCCGGACCTGGTGATCGACATCTGTGGCCCCCTACCCGGAAATACAAAATCACACATATATATATATATATATATATATATATGATTTTGTGCAGCACTGCGCTCAGTAGCAGTAGTTCTGCTATAGGGTGGTAGGGAAGCGGTAAGCTGGCCATAGATGATCCCGGGCTGAACAAAAAAAAAAAGTCAAACAGATTCCTTCATCCACACAAGTGGTATTACATCTGATCAGCCACAGCAGCTGATTGGCTTCAGAGATCGACAAAAGATCGACAGCTTTTCCATTCAACAGAAGTTGATCTAACGATTGACTTCTGTTGAACAGAGACCACACAGGGATGGAAGTTCAACTAGGCCCTGCTGAACTGGCTGAATTGTATTCCATCTATGGCCAGCTTTATTTGTTAATTGTTGTCTCTTGCCTAAAGTATTTATAAAAAGGAATTTTGCTGATGCTGTAAGTATAAAGGAATAGCTTTCATAAATCAGAAAATGCAACTTATATTTTTGTGGACCGGAAGATTTTTTTTTGCAGTGCCTTGTAATTGTGGTAACATTCTTCGTACAATCTTTTTAAGTGATCCTCTAACTTCTTTGTTCCTTAGGCTATAGATGATAGGATTTAGACCTGGAGTAATAACAGTATAAAAAACTGACACAAACTTCTTCATGTCAGAAGAATAGTTGGAGTGGGGCCGGACATACATAAAAATCATTGTTCCATAGTAGAGCAATACTACAGTCAGGTGAGCTCCACAAGTGGAAAAACTCTTATTCCGGCCACTGTTAGAGTTTATTTTAAGTACAGAAATCACAATTGATATATAGGACATCAAAGTCAACACCAAAGAGCCGAACAGCACAATGAGAGACAGAATAAATATGGAGATTTCTGTCAGGTAGATATCACTACATGACAGCTCCAGGAGAGGAGGAATATCACAAAAAAAGTGGTTTATTTGGCGAGAGTCACAGAAATCTAACTTGGAAATAAGCAGAGTAGGAATTAGAGCTGTCATTATTCCAGTTACCCATGAGCCTGCAACTAGCTGGAGACATGTTCTGGTGTCCATCAGAGTGGAATAGTAAAGAGGTTTACAAATGGCAATGTATCGATCATAAGCCATTGTTAGCAGCAAATAACACTCAGTGGCTCCAAATGAGACAAAGAAGAACAGCTGAGTTATACATCCAGCAAAGGAGATGGCATTGCTTTTCAGCAGTAGGTTGGCTAAAAGTTTGGGTACAATTGTAGTTGTGTACCATATCTCCAAAAAAGAGAGATTAGTAAGAAAGAAATACATTGGTGTCTGAAGAGACTGATCCATGATCACCACAGTTATAATGATGAGATTTCCAACGAGGGTCACTAGAAAAATAAGAAGGAATACAATGAACAGAGGGATGTTAGTGTCCGTAACATTTAACAGTCCCACAACTGTAAAATCATCTTCGCTGCTCTGGTTGGCAAAGTTCATAGTGCAGGAGGAAAAAGCATGTAGCACCCATCCAAATGACACCTGCAGAGGAAAAGCAAAAAAAGTAGGAAGATAATCTGCAGCTACAAATGAAATGTTGATTATTATTAGTTTTTGTTTTATTTTTTATATTGCCCATACACATGTTGAGCTGCTTTTAATGTAGCATATCTCAACACTCCTTATACCATACATGTAAACTACACTTTCTATAAAAAACCCCTCCTGATTGAAACGGATTAGTCCAGGATGTGTTATCATATTACTGCCCTATTGTCAGGATTAGCTGCAGATGGTTCAGCTGCTTTTTTTTTAATCCAATCCTTTTCCAACAGTGGTTAGCCTAACCCAGTTACCCAAGAAATTGCATTGAGAACTCTAGTATACATTGCACTGTCTCTACCCAGCCTGCCACTACAATTCTTCTTTTTACCAGCCTGTATGTCTAATCCTTTACAATCCTGGATTCATCAGCACTGTAAAGAGCCTGAAGTGCATTTACTGATTTCAGTAACTACCAGAAAATATGGGATGCAAAAACTGGGTACAGAGGAAATAAATACAGTTAAACACAACATTTACAGTGCTGTGAAAAGTTATTTGTCCCATTCCTTTTTTTAATTTATTTATTAATTTATTACAGGTACTTATATAGCGCTGTCAATTTATGCTGCACTTTACATATATATATTGTACATTCAAATCAGTCCCTAACCTCAAGGGGTGCACAATCCAAAGACCATAATTTACATTCATACAAACACAAATTAGGGCCAATTTAGACAGGAGTCAATTTTAACTACCAGCATGTCTTCGGAGTGTGAGAGGAAACCAGAGTACCTGGAGGAAATTGGAGTATCTGGAGGAAACCCACGCAGGCACAGGGATAACGCATAAAAACTCCAGGCAGGTGGTGCCGTGGTTGGGATTCAAGCTAATGACCCTTCTACTGCCAGGTGGAGGTAACCATTTAGCCACTGTGCTGCCAAAGGTTTTCAGTTTTTTTTGTATATTTGTCACACTTAAGTGATTAAGATCATCAAACAAATTTTAATATTACACAAAGATAACCCAAGTAAATATAAAATGCAATTTTTAAATGATTTCTGTCAGTAACAACTGCAATCAATCGTTTGCAATAACTGGCAATGAGTCTTTCACATGTGGAGGAAATGTCCAAAATAAGTGGTTAATCACAGTTCATTCATAATTTAGTAAAGGGGGGGGGGGGAGAGCAATTACCTTTTCACATAGGACCAAGCAGGTTTTGCCAGCTTTTTTCCCTTAATAAATGAAATCATCGTTTAAAAATGGCATTTTGTATTTACTCGGGTCTTCTTTGTGTAATATCAAAATTTGTTTGATGATCTGAATCATTTCAGTGTGACAAATATGCAAAAAAAAAAAAACGGGACGGGGCATATACTTTTTCACAACACTGTAAATGTATGGAATATGTCTTCTATTCACAAGTAACTGCAGAATCTTGACACCCAATGTGCAACCCATCACTGCTCAACAGCACTCTGGGATTGATTTACTAAAAGGCAAACACACTGTTTACTGTACAGGGTAATCTTCCCCAGAGCTTTGCAAGCAAGGAAAATAATAAAAACAGCATTTTTGCTTGCACATTATTGGATTATGGAAGGCAGCAGAGCTTCACCTCATTCACGTGGGATAATTCCCTTGCAGAGTGCTACTGCTTTAGCAAAGTGAACAGTCTATTTGCCTTTAGTAAATCAGCCTTAATGTCCCTCTTACTGCTCTGTTTATAAGCATCTGTAAGGTTGCGTTCACACAGGGAGTACTAAAGAGTATGCCCATACAGAGTCATGTTTACCCACAGGTGTTCCGTGCATCCCCTTGAAGGCAGTCCCATAGATGTGAGTTGAGACTCAGTGGATGCATGGACACAGCCGCTGCTACCAATTTGACATTCATGTGGGTGCATGTTCCTGAACTCACAGTGTGCATTTGAAGACATGCACCCACACCCACATGGATGGCAAATTGGGAGTAACGGCTGTGTCCATGCAGACACTGCATCCCAATTGACATAAAGAAAACTGCCTACACAGAGATTCACAGAACACCTGTGAGTCCCTGTGTGGGTAAACTTGGGCCTCCATGAGCCTGTGCTTTAGTGCTCCCTATGGAAACATGGAATCTATTGTATTTACCCCCTGAGTCGAAGTACTATTTATTGTGGAATTAAATATTCCAAAACTTTTTTTTTAACTGAACTTTAACTCTGTTGGAGGTTGCAAACAGGATAATCTTACTAAAGTGGATACATTCTTTTTTTCTAGGATATTGTCTATCTCTATGTAATCCAAGGTACCACAAGTTAATTAATAACTAATGGAAAGTTTTATCATGCAGCTTGAAATGCTGTATAAATTGTGTCCTGCGAGTGTAAAATCAAAGCGTAATTTAATGGGACATTATGATGTCTGTATATGGGCTGGCATTCACATGATTAATAAAATCCTGACTGAACAGGCTGACCTGGTCAATCATTCACATATATCAGTTTCCTATAAAATTTCAGTCTCCTTATCAAAATATAACATTTCAATAATGGTCACCTCTGAACTGTTTATCATTTATTGCTCATTTATGAACTTTTACTAGTACCCTTTTATCAGGTTTTTTTATGATCATATCTTTAATAGTATCTAGCGCTGCACCATTATTGAACTGTTTTATTGAGGTTTTATCTTGGCTACCTTTGTGCATAGCTGCTTCCCCATTTTTTAGTGCGCTCACATACTCCTACCTTTTATAAAATCTAACATTTGTTGCTCAGCAAGTTCACACCCCTGTCATTGCTGTCTCCAATAACATTTTATACATATGCAATATCCACTGAAACACTCTGCCACAGTCACACCTATCTCTGTTCAGTTTCTTGGCATGTGTAACATTTAATGTCTTTTTTGTCTCGGATCAACATTTATTTTAATTTAATTTAAAAAAGCATGATTATTAGTATTGAACCCCATGGTATCAGTCTTTTGCTAACCATTTACTTCTTCCCCTTATTTTAATAAAATGGCACATTTATAAACAAGTACTTTGACTCTGAGTGAAAAAAGTTTGCATGGTTAGCATGGCATTAAGACAGAGGCAACCATAATTACTTGTGATAGCTGTATGCTCACCTTCTTTTTGTGAACACATCTCAAAAGGAAGAACAAATGCATAGACCCATCTTGGAAATTCAGCAGTAGTATAGTTATATTTACCAGTTAAAGATAAATTACAAATTTGGCACAATTGCCGCTGTCTCTATCCTGGCCACCCAGGATGCATGTTTGGATAACAACCTTGGTATAACTTTAAGGGGAACCCCACACTGTGTATTTTTTTATTTAAGAAATACGTTGCATAGTGTATTGTTTTATAATGCCATCTCCCTGCTAAACAAGATATCTATATTTTTTTTGCAATGGAACACATTACCAATGGGAGTGCCCTGTTCCTTTTGTCATTTTTACAGCAATACCTCATCTATTAGCCTTGAAAATGGCAGAAAAAAAAACAAGATTTGTCTCCCATAGATTTCAATGTGGTAAGAGCTAAGTCCTGGGTTGCAGACTTCCCACAAACCTTGAACCTGGCAGATTTACTCATCACTTATTACTTCTATGCAACCATTAAACTACCTGACTTAATAAAGTGTAAACTAGAGTTCTCATATATGCAGAGTTCGGTTAGTAAAAAGTCCTAATAATTCTGACAATTATCAATATATATGCAATAATTTAAAAAAAACAGGTCAAGCACTTCTTTTGTGCAATTTTCGTGCACAGTGTAGCCCATTGAAATGAATGTGCTGTCCTAAAGGTGAAGTTCAAGCAACCTGACACGTTGACAAAAGTTTTTATTATAAGATTTGTTCCTATATAACTCCTTATTACCCTTTAGTTTACTCTAATCAACTCTAATTATTTATTTGTACCCCTTATTCCCTTAACTATTATTTTCCTGCTATTTTTTTTTGTTTCTATTTTTCTAACCATTGAAATGTAAACCTTTTTTTGTGTCACATTAAAATGCAAAATTTAAAAAAGTCCTTATTTTTACTTGTAAATAATTTTGCAATGCTTTTTCTACTAAAATCACAATTTACTTACATTTTTACACTGGGAAAAGTATAGGATAATATTTATACTTTTTATCTACAATATATTTTAGAAAATTTACATTGATCAAATTAGAACAAAAAGTATGTTTTTAGTTATGTTTTTGGCTATGGGTTACATAAAAAATGCAATCATTTTTACAGCATCATTATAGAAAGCTTTACAAAATTATACATGGTACACTATGTATTATGTTATTATCTTAAGAAATGGCAAAGCTATTGACAATTAACAGACCCATAGGAGAAATGTAAAAATTACTGTGTACCCTTAGGGAGAGGTGTGAGAACTAAAGTGGTTAAAATCCATTCAACAGGAAATGGTGGAATCGAACCATTGCCAGAAAAAATATTTTCTACTGTACCAAATACTTTGACTGTAAAGATGTATGACGTACAAGGCCCATTTTGACTATTGGTCTAACTTATTGTCTCTTACCCACAGAACAGTTGTGAAGAAAACGCAGTGTAATTTCTTTAGTATAGCAAATGTGTGTGTAAGCAACCTCTTCTCTTATCTCAGGCTATGAAATTTTCCTAAGGTATATGTATGTTTTCGCAAACCCCTTGGAGATCAATACACCATGTTCCCAGTCGATCTGAGATAACCTGAGTTCCTAGAAATTCTTCTCCCTTGGAGAATAAAACAGATGAGCTAATTGTGTAGTTCCATGAAAACTGTGCGGCACACTTCACATATCACAAATAATTCTAGATATTGCAGACTGATGTGAGCAAGCTATCATAATTTGTATTTATTTGCACATTTTCCATTGCTTTTTGGTAGATTGAAAATAACTGTTATTTTTTCTTTTTGTTAAAGCAGAATAAAACCCCTAGATAATACACT